AGTGGCCTTTCAACCACTGCCTTGACAATTTGTTAGAGGTTAAAACTTACACACCGGTAGTTAAAGAGGCCATTACCTTGGATGGAACACGTCTAGAAGAAGTCAGGCTGACACAAATTCAAAGTTTGCAACATTCACTGTGTTAAACTTTGCTTTCAGGGGAGCAGCTGCCCGAGTGGTTAACACCCTAGGTTCTCATGCTGAAGACTCAGGTTTGATCCTTTGTGGGGGGGGGGGGGGGGGGGGGGGGGGGGGGGGGAAATACAATCCTAGCCAGCACCGTTCAAGGTGAATGTGCTTACAGTGCAGCTCCAAATCCTCACTCAGAAATCCGCCTCCCTCTACATCGCCCCAAAAGGCAGTAAAGTGTGTTTTTTAATAGTTAGTTTTCATGTTCATATCATATATTGATGATTTGTTTTAGTTTGGTAGTAATCAGCAGGTACTTAACCAGTTTTCACTTGTTTTGTAAGATATACTGCCAGTTTTCTTCGTCAGCTAGGCACCTGGACACTGCAAGTTTGAAAGATAGGGAGTAGTGATAAGCGTGTCATAAGAGTCAACTAATTAGGTGCCTCCTTTGAAGTCAGAGTGCATCTGCCCGAGCAGCAAGGCACAACCAACTGCACACCAATAGGCAAAACTCAGGCCTTGGCACAAAGCCTAAATGGACGAACAACCTGACTTTCTGCCTGAGCTTACAGCCGGTGATCAAAGAAGAAGCCCACCACTACTGATTTCAGCCCATGTCTACTGATTCAGCCCACTCCTAATTTAATCACCTTATACATCAGAGCCGTTAGGGGGAACAGCAGATGTTGGCGGGGACTGCAAGTCTAGTCTTTTTCCGAATGTTTTTTCCCCCAACACACACACGGGAGATCCAGACCTCTGCCCCAGTAGCGACAAGAAGGGATCAGCTTCATTAATGAGTACCGCAGATTTCCTACCATGTATGTCATAAGAGGCGACTAAGGAGGGTTGGTATACGACTGGCTACGTCATCCCATAGACCAGGGCTATAAAGCTGGCGGCCTAGCAAGTAATCCACGGATCATTGCCACTTACACTCTATTAATGATCTGTCTGTGCTGGGCCTCAGGCCTCTGACGATCCCCATTTGTCGAAATGTTGGTCCCTAAGTAAACTTAGTTGAATAGCCCCGTCATAGACACTGCAAAATGCAACCACTTATGAACAAGTCTACAAAGGACAATAGAAGGTGCAGTTGGCCGAGCTGTTGGAAACACTGGACTCTCATTTGGGAGAGAGACTCAGTTGAAATTCTCTAAGGTGCTGGATTTTTTTTTTTTTTTTCTGTTAGGCCAACCATAAGATCGTAGAATGCAGTCTGTGGCTTCTGCACTAGCCATGTGGCCCTAGATACTCAGTTTCACCCCCCCCCCCCTCCCTTTTCCACCCTGTATTAACAAGCAGTAATTGCAGGCAGTACAAAAAGGGCTTGACAACAGTTTGATCTGTGCTGCATTGGCAAATGAAAGACAGCAGTTGTTTTTTCTGGGAGGAGAGGAACTGGGTCACCCATCCCCATGTGATCTAGTGAATGGAGAGCCTGTAACATTTGTTACCATGAGAGTTAACTTGTATACATTTGTGATGTCTGTGTTTGGTCTGTTCAGTTGTGTTTATATATATATATTTATTGGTACATTAAAATGATATCCATGTATAACCTGTGTTGTTATGTAATAAGCAGACAAGCATGCCAACAGAGTATATATATATTTTTTTTCATCATCATCAAGTGCCTTGCGTGGCAGCTGGCATAGGCGTCCATGCATCTCCACAGATCTCGATCTTTGGTGGCCTTCCACCATCATTTCTCTTGGTCTGCCTCTGCCTCTGCTACCTGTGATCTTTCCAGTCATCGCAGTATTTTCCAGTGCTTCTTTTCTCATCACATAGCCAAAGAAATTTTTGTCTCCTTCTCATTGTTGTATATAATGTTCTACTTTCATTAGCCATTTCCAGGCAATCACTGTTAGTTACTCAGGCAGTCCAAGGTATTTCCAACATTCTTCTCAGTTGCCTCCAAACTCTTCTTAATTTGCTCACATTCCAAGATTTAAAGTCATACAACAGAACAGGTTTGATATAACATTTCAGTACTTTTTTTGTATATATATATATATATTAGTTAAATTTTTTTTAGAAGAACATCGTGGAATAATAGTGATTGATTACTGATTTAAGAATTGACATCATAGCATACCGTGCAAACCCATAGATGCTCCATCTCCGGCAGCAAATGACGTAAGGTGTAGCAGCAAAGTGTAAAAAAGAAATTCCTACTTGAGACAGATTAAAGTCGTAAACTGAGAAATTAGACTGACAGACTGTTTTTCGGACATGTTATGAGAAGGGATGGACTTGAGAACTTGGTAACTACTGGCTGGACTGAGAGCAAAGGGAAAGGCAGAGAGATTCAACAAACAAACACACAAAAAAAGGAATGGCTTAATCATAAGGATAGGGCAAGACAAGAACACTGACCTGATCCATGATTCTGATAATCCTATGAGATGGCAAAACATGACAGCCTATGCTTATCAACACGGCACATGATGATGATTAACCCGGTCAGTTTATTTTATCCATCTAATAATTGGATCCTTGTTTAATTAAGAGCAAAAACAACAAATAATTACACAAATTCTCAAAAGAGTTAACGACCCTTTTCACACCTGTGGCACATTGGGCAAATAGTGCCAGGCCCATATTTTAATAGACCAGTTGGCACTTGATGCAGCATTTGGCCCAACATATCCGATTTCCACAAATCTTTAATTAATTACCTTTTACATGCTTGTTTACGAGCCGTCATCTATTCTTTTTTCCCCTCCCCAAATGGGGTGCTCCATAACCCACAGGGAATAGTGTGCAATAGACCACAGAATCAAGAAAAGATTGTTTTAGCTTTTTCTTTAAGAAAAAATTTTAATGTATTTAGCTTCCTTTTTTTTTCCATATACAAAAGAAAGAAACTTGGAAAACAAACATATACATGAATGATAGTTTCAACAAAGATAAGTCTTACCTCCCAGGAAACTACCTGGGAAGAAAAGTTGCTAGCACAGTGCTGACATCACCAACCGACTGCTTGTCTAAACAAATATTGGACTTCTTCTCTAGTCATGTTCTACCTTTCAGCATCAGGTTTTGCACAAACATCAGGTAAGAGCCTTGGTATATGCTAGGTAACTACTCATATTTACAGCCTCAGCTATTCCATCTATCCATCGCGTCTGACATGGCTGTCAGTGGTGCCTTGTCTAGTGGCAGTTTTGACACATGTTCAAACCACCTGATCTGTTGTCTCATGATGATGTAGTTTAGTACTGGTTACGTCCCAAATTTTTTTCTGCTATCATTACTGGTCCTATTTCTAGATACATTTAGGGCTCGCCGTAATTTGGGACTATCACAACAACCCCAATCAATCCTAATACATGAACAGTTCTCTCTTCCTTCATCTTCAGAGTTTGCAGCTGGTAAGTGTGAAGAAGAGAAAACAAGACTCAAAAATATTTCTGTATTATGTGCACTGTACTATTTGATTCCAATAACATTTTAGATGTGCCACAAACTGTACCCTGGTGTTGCTGAAGCAATCAGTATCCATACTTTATACCGCGCTTCCCCCAAAAATAAAACCTAGCATGCTTTCAGGCGTATTGGGCATATAGGGCTAGACCTATATTTTATAGACCAATAAACACCTTAGCATCATGCCAGACACCTTTACTTCCCATGACTCCATCTGGTACCCATTCAAGGCTGGGTCGACCTGGGAGCCAAAGCACTTTTTTAAAAGTCTAGTATCGCCAGAACCCGAACCCACAACCTTCCGATCCGCAAGCGAGCATCTAACCGCTACACCATGGCCTTTTTAATGCAAGCCCTATCTGAAAAATAAGCTCCAGTTAAGAACGCCAGCTAGAATGAGAGACTTACTGCTTATTGGCCAGTCAGAAATTTTTTATGTGAATTAATGTAGATTTTTGTATTTGAACAAAATAATAAAACAATAAGACATCCCTTGAAGACAATCTTTAGTGCATTTTAATAAGCACAAATTTATATAAGACATGATCTTACTATTTGTATGGGAAAAAATCAATTTATGTGAGAGAGATGCAGCATCTACAGGTCTGCACCAGGTGCAAAGATGTTGATTCTTCCTATATGGCTCCAGCTCTCTCCATAGATCTGCTAGCCAAAAGCTGAAGATATCACACAAAGCATGAGCTCTGTAGCTCCATGGACGATTCTTATAAACAACTGGACCCATGAGCTAAACAATACATTAGTGTTCCCTTGGACTTTCAGAGTGTGCAGCAATGGCCTAACCACTTCACCAGGGACATCCAGATGATGAGATTGCACAGTCATCACATCCAGATCTGCAACTGTTCACTGCCCAGTCATCACATCCAGATCTGCAACTGTTCCCTACACAGTCATCACATCCAGATCTGCAACTGTTCACTGCCCAGTCATCACATCCAGATCTGCAACTGTTCACTGCACAGTCATCACATCCAGATCTGCAACTGTTCCCTACACAGTCATCACATCCAGATCTGCAACTGTTCCCTACACAGTCATCACATCCAGATCTGCAACTGTTCACTGCCCAGTCATCACATCCAGATCTGCAACTGTTCACTGCCCAGTCATCACATCCAGATCTGCAACTGTTCACTGCACAGTCATCACATCCAGAACTGCAACTGTTCCCTACACAGTCATCACATCCAGATCTGCAACTGTTCACTGCCCAGTCATCACATCCAGATCTGCAACTGTTCACTGCCCAGTCATCACATCCAGATCTGCAACTGTTCACTGCACAGTCATCACATCCAGAACTGCAACTGTTCCCTACACAGTCATCACATCCAGATCTGCAACTGTTCCCTACACAGTCATCACATCCAGATCTGCAACTGTTCACTGCAGATTCACAAGATCCAGTATCAGAATCTCCTCATCTGCTTCTTGAACTTCTCAAAGTGGAAATCATCTGTTGCTTTCTCTCCTGTTGTCTTCTTCTTCTTCTTTTTGTCTGATGTATTATCATCAGTTTCTGAAAGACAAAATGAAACAAACATTGCTAACTTTTCTCATATATGAACCTACTAAAGATATTCTTCTTACAGTCCATGCCATGTGTGGCAATGGTAGTCATGTCTGTCTACAAGCTTCTGTTTCTGGAACTTTCAATCAATTCTGACACAGATGATCTTCCATGCCATGTGTGGCAATGGTAGTCATGTCTGTCTACAAGCTTCTGTTTCTGGAAATTTCAATCAATTCTGACACAGATGATCTTCCATGCCATGTGTGGCAATGGTAGTCATGTCTGTCTACAAGCTTCTGTTTCTGGAACTTTCAATCAATTCTGACACAGATGATCTTCCATGCCATGATGTCAAACTGTCCAGCATCATCTCTCTCAGCCTTTTTCCCCTCCAACATTCCCACCGTCAAGAAGTACTCAAGTTTTCTCCTTCTCATGAAATGACCAAAGAATGTAGATAGTTTCCTAATGTGAGCAATCAATTCCTTTTGTGGGTCAGTTTCTTTCAAGATATCGTGATTACTCTTTGTATCTGTCAAGGGTGTTTTTACCATTCATCTATAAAACAGGCTCACTACCCCATAACAGGCATGTCATAAAAGGAATCCATTTGTTCAATTGTTTAAATCAGAAGTGTTCTTTAGATACCGCATCCCACTTGTAAACTACAACCTAATGTGCCAACAGTCCCTTTAACTCATTGAGTAGCAAGCAACTCACATGACAGACCCTCCTGAACTCATGTCCCTTCCAGCTGTTATCTCAACACATTCTACCCCAATTCTTACTGTAACTATTCAGTCTTGTTACTTGTTGTCCGTATCAACACCCTAGCTCATCAGTCTGAACCATTCGTGCTCCATCCTCCCATGCAGCAGCCATCTCAGTGTCTCCATGTTCAATTTATCTAGTAGAAGTTGACTAGCATATCTTCTTTCTTTGCTCTGCAACATGTTTTTACTTACTGTCGTCCCCTTGTGGGATGCAATTTTTTAAAATTATTTTGAAGCCCCACCCTGGCTTTTGCCGGGCACCTTACATATAGCTGGGTCATAATTATGGCCTAAAGGCTGAACAGAGTTTCCGAGACCTCTCCATGGGTGATCTTCATCCACATAGTGGCACTTTGTGTCATCGTGTGTTTATCGCTTTTGTGATGTCCTGGTGGGGTACAACTTACCTACCTACCTACAACATGTTTCTGTGTGCCTGTCCACGTTTAATAACCATTTCCAGCAGGCAGTTTATCGTCTCTGACTCCTCCATCTCAAAGTCTCTAGAATGCAGCACATTCAGTATGTCTGCCTTGTCCATAGTTCTTCCTCCTAACCACCACAGGCATGGCCAGTCTGTAGGCTCTTTCATTTGCTTTCACCCCAGCAGAGTCTGGTGTGTACAGCCAAGATAGTTTCTTGAAGCAGGATTTGTGGATGTTGCCAACCCATTCTGGTCAAGAGTTTGTCAGTTTGGATCCTCTTAAGAATGCTCATTGATTCTGGCACTATCAATTCATGACTTGTTTTCTGTTCACAGAGATGCAGCAAACTATTCTATCCCATACTGGTATTATTTCAACTCTTTAGGCACAACATTAAATCAATAAAGTCACTCCTTTTCCTAGCCTTCACTGGTTGTAAACTGCAGAAAGTTCTGGTTATTTTTCCACTTCCGGGTATTGCTCTTGTTCAAGATCTTGAGTTTTGAATGCGCATCCATTTTACATATCTGCTATTTTTTAATGCAGACTGATGATTACTTGCTTCTCAAACAGATGCATTCTGACTTCGAAGGAGACACCCCTAATTAATCGCCTTTTACAATATTTTGGGAGCCTCAGAATATATACACGAAAAAGTAAAGTAGCAACTTCTAAGGATATTACTATTCCATGTATAAGACACCTATTTTTGTTTTAAACCCAAAATTAGGAAATGAATATTTTGAACACATTCTGTGTATAAGAGGACCCTTAATTTTCAACCGGACAACTTTGGAACGACATATCATCTTGTACACGGAAATATACGGTAACAAACAAAGAGGGAAACAAACTCTGTGAAGAGCTTGGAGGCAGCAAAGATGTTTCCGAAGACACGAACCTGGTTCGACAGCGTCCTTGTCTATATCCCCCACTCTTAGGGGCTCTGGTTTTGGCAGCTCAACTTTTTTCACCTGCTTAGGTTTGTTATCATCAATGTTGACTGTAACAGAAATAGTTATCATCAATGTTGATTGAAACAGAAACAGTTATTATCAATGTTGACTGAAACAAACATAGTTATAATCAATGTTGACTGTAACAGAAACAGTTATCATCAATGTTGACTGTAACAGAAACAGTTATCATCAATGTTAACTGTAAAAAAACTTAACAGAAACAGTCATAATCAATGTTGACTGTAACAGAAATAGTTAACATCAAAGTTGACTAAAACAGAAATAGTTATCATCAATGTTGACTGAAACAGAAATAGTTATCATCTGTTGACTGTAACAGAAAGCTCATGTTTACTTACAGTAACTTATTAGTTACTGCATGGACGAGTGATGGAGAAACTATGGCCTGCAGACCAAAACGGGCCAGCCCAGCAATTTTTACAGGCCCAAAACTGACAAACCTAGGAAATGTCCTGGCCAGCAAGATGTTAACCATATCACACTTCAAGTGCTGACTGGTCGATAAAACTTAAGTCTAGCATCCCATGACTGATGCACCACCATGACTCATGCACCATCATGACTGATGCACCACCATGACCGATGCACCACCATGACCGATGCACCACCATGACTGATGCACCACCATGACCGATGCACCACCATGACCGATGCACCACCATGACCGATGCACCACCATGACTCATGCACCACCATGACCGATGCACCACCATGACTGATGCACCACCATGACCCATGCACCACCATGACTGATGCACCACCATGACTGATGCACCACCATGACCGATGCACCATCATGACTGATGCACCACCATGACTGATGCACCACCATGACTCATGCACCACCATGACCAATGAACCACCATGACTCAATGACCGATGAACCACCATGACTCATGCACCACCATGACCGATGAACCACCATGACTTATGCACCACCATGACCGATGCACCACCATGACCGATGCACCACCATGACTGATGCACCATCATGACTGATGCACCACCATGACCGATGCACCACCATGACCGATGCACCACCATGACCGATGCACCACCATGACTCATGCACCACCATGACCGATGCACCACCATGACTGATGCACCACCATGACCCATGCACCACCATGACTGATGCACCACCATGACTGATGCACCACCATGACTGATGCACCACCATGACTGATGCACCATCATGACTGATGCACCACCATGACCGATGCACCACCATGACCGATGCACCACCATGACCGATGCACCACCATGACCGATGCACCACCATGACTGATGCACCACCATGACCGATGCACCACCATGACCGATGCACCACCATGACTCATGCACCACCATGACCGATGCACCACCATGACTGATGCACCACCATGACTGATGCACCACCATGACTGATGCACCACCATGACTGATGCACCACCATGACCGATGCACCATCATGACTGATGCACCACCATGACTCATGCACCACCATGACTCATGCACCACCATGACCGATGAACCACCATGACTCAATGACCGATGAACCACCATGACTCATGCACCACCATGACCGATGAACCACCATGACTCATGCACCACCATGACCGATGCACCACCATGACCGATGCACCACCATGACTGATGCACCACCATGACCGATGCACCATCATGACTGATGCACCACCATGGCTGATGCACCACCATGACTCATGCACCACCATGACCGATGCACCACCATGACTGATGCACCACCATGACCCATGCACCACCATGACTGATGCACCACCATGACTGATGCACCACCATGACCGATGCACCATCATGACTGATGCACCACCATGACTGATGCACCACCATGACTCATGCACCACCATGACCGATGAACCACCATGACTCAATGACCGATGAACCACCATGACTCATGCACCACCATGACCGATGAACCACCATGACTCATGCACCACCATGACCGATGCACCACCATGACCGATGCACCACCATGACTGATGCACCACCATGACCGATGCACCATCATGACTGATGCACCACCATGACTGATGCACCACCATGACTCATGCACCACCATGACTGATGCACCACCATGACTGATGCACCACCATGACCCATGCACCACCATGACTGATGCACCACCATGACTGATGCACCACCATGACCGATGCACCACCATGACTGATGCACCACCATGACTCATGCCCCACCATGACCGATGAACCACCATGACTCAATGACCGATGAACCACCATGACTCATGCACCACCATGACCGATGAACCACCATGACTCATGCACCACCATGACCGATGAACCACCATGACTCATGCACCACCATGACCGATGAACCACCATGACTCAATGACCGATGAACCACCATGACTCAATGACCGATGAACCACCATGACTCAATGACCGATGAACCACCATGACTCATGCACCACCATGACCGATGAACCACCATGACTCATGCACCACTAACTGTGTGTACAGAAGAAAACACCACATAAATATTTGGGAGGGGGGGGGGGTGGTTAAGATCTTCTCATGTTTAGAAACTATTAGGTCTGTTCTTATTTCACATCATTACATTGTGCCTTACCAAAAGTCTTCTTTGATACTTAAAAACAAAGTCCAGAACCAGAAATTGCATCTGCTCTGCACCTTTGAGAGACTCCTTAAAAAATGGGGAATCCGCAATATACTGCTCCTACTTTCTGTGTTTATTTATCTTACATGCAAACACACTGAAGAGGCATTAGTCCAGGACTCAAATCACAAATTTAAGATTGGCCATGTGTACTTGTGGACTGGCACCCGAAACAACAGATCACATCCTTCAAGACTGTCCCAGATTCAACGCTTTCAGGCAAAACCTTTGGCCAAATGAGACACTTGTGGAAGTCAAACTTTACGGGCCGCTTAGTGAATTACAAAAGACAGTGAAATTCATACTAGAGACAGCTTTGCAGATATAGACAATTTATTTCATGCGAACAAAAGAAGAAGAAGAAGAAATCACAAATATAGGACTTGACTTTGTTCTTCTTCTTCTTCTGTCATTCAAGAGAGAGAGTGGGTGGGTGTGTGTGTGTGTGTGTGCGTGAATGTGTGGATGTAACTGCACTGTGCCCCTTTACAACACAGCAGCCTTCTGGCTTATATATCCAACTTCTTCAGATATTTATTGATCAGATTAACATTTCAGAGTTTATGAATCTAACATTGCAAGTTACTGCACACAAAAAAGATCATGGATAAACTATCTTTTTTTCTTACTGTATTACTACCTAACATTCAATGATTCTTCTTCAGCAATCTCTAGTCAAGTGGTTAATCCACTATTGGCCATAAACTGGAATGTCAGGTTGAGGTCTCATAGTTTTCCCCAAAGCTTGTCAAGTCTAATGGGTATGGTCACAGGTTGTCTTGCAGCTCCTCCAGAGGAGGAGACATTTTGCAAGACATATTCTAGAACCTGTTTAGCATGAAGACTGGCAGAGAGCTGTCTGGCTCACATTCGATGTATATGAGTGCTTGTTGAGTCTGCAGTAACCAGTGCATAAGCAAAATAAATGTGACTTGGTCTGTTCAGATTTTTTAAGGAATTCAATGGTCAAAAGGCATCTACTATATTCTGTGGATAGAAGATAGGAAACTACTTCTTCTTTTGCATTCATCCAAAGATGTAATTGTGTTGTGTTCGTTTACGGCAGGGCTATTTAACTAGTTTACTCTAGGGCAAAATTTTTTTTTTATGGGGATCATCACAGGCCAGAGGTTCAAGTACCAGCATTAACAGATCATTAATACAATACAACTGACAATGATCCGTGGGCCATTTGCTAGACCTCCAAGGGCCACATTTGGCCTGCGGGCCGCCAGTTGAATAACCCTGGTTTACAGCATGGCTGGGATATTTGCACCTTTCGGCCAAAACATCCTACTTCTGCAGGCCGGGTTGACCGGGTTAGCCTTTCCCGTTATATAGGAAACTACATTCATCAGGAGTGAACTTGAAACAAATATAGACAACTTACATCTGTTGTGCTGGACAAAATTTACAGCTACATTCGTCGGTACAAAATCAGATGGCATGTTTTCACGCTGTCGCTTCCTCTCGTCCAGAAGTTTCTGTTTGGCTTCTTCTGTCTGTTCAATGTTTCTGATTTTGGCCCTGGCAACAAACAGTTAACAATCAGTAATGAAATCGAGGCTCAGCCAATCTCACAAACAACAAAAGGTGTCCTATTAAATATATTTTGCAACAACAAAGTTCCAGATAGGCAATATCTTCTGCATTTACCCCCCTCCCCCTCCCCCGAATCACACCCAATTTTACATTCTGAAGTGTTTGTTTTTTTAATTCATATCAAATTTGTTCCTCAGATATGGGAAGCCCTAGGCGATTGAGTTTGTTGTATCTCATTTAGAATCTAAAGGTAATAATTGGTCAAATCCTGCCCATTATGAGTCATAATGTAAAAAAATGTTTTAAACAATTTAACCAACAGGACCTATTCACGCAAGTTGTGCATCGGGCATTCAACAATGCTAGAATCTTTTTCTTTTCTCTTAATTATTTTATTTTCCTTCACTTCCCTGGTACCTATTTTAGGCTTGGTTGATCTGGAAGTTAATTTATTGAAAAAAAAAATCCACCTTGATGCAAATTTAAATACTACTGCTCCCTAACGTATTCCCCACTTTGAAGAAAATCAAAAAGGTACATGCTTTAAAAAAAAAAGTCCAGAAGAAATCAACCTCAACAACAATGGCAGATCATGCCCAGAAATTACCTCAGATCATACTTCAGTATATTCTTCTTAGAAAGAAACAAAGAAAGAAAGATAACATCAATAACCAATGCCACTTACTCAATGCCCAGGTCGATCTCCGGAATACCAGACAACATCTGATTGGACAACATGTCTTCAGATTTTTTCTCTGAGGAATATTTCTTGAGATGTTCTGGTAAATCATACAAAGAATCAGCTTGGGTCTTCTGCCTGTGAATGCAAAAGATGACACTTTATTGAGCCGCAAATATTAAACACATGATAAACAAAAATGCAATCTGTGTAATGTATTGCTGAGAATGTCTTTACACAAGAACGCACAAGGTCACAGAAATTAAAGCAGACCAAAAAACACATGGAGAAGGGAACTAGCGAATGAAGTTAAATAGGATAAGATTGACAGAGGATGCGTAAACATATTTTTTTAAACATAAGAAAATACAAATAAAGCCCAACGAGTGAAGTGTAGCAGACTTATTCCACCTAACAAACACAACCCATTCACTCACTCCACCCAATAAACACAACCCATTCACTCACTTCACCTAATAAACACAACCCATTCACTCATTCCACTCAATAAACACAACCCATTCACTCACTTCACCCAATAAACACAACCCATTCACTCACTTCACCTAATAAACTCAACCCATTCACTCACTTCACCCAATAAACACAACCCATTCACTCACTTCACCCAATAAACACAACCCATTCACTCACTTCACCCAATAAACACAACCCATTCACTCACTTCACCTAATAAACATGACCCATTCACTCACTTCACCCAATAAACACAACCCATTCACTCACTTCACCTAATAAACACAACCCATTCACTCACTTCAACTAATAAACATGACCCATTTACTCACTTCACCCAATAAACACAACCCATTCACTCACTTCACCTAATAAACATGACCCATTTACTCACTTCACCCAATAAACACAACCCATTCACTCACTTCACCCAATAAACACAACCCATTCACTCACTTCACCCAATAAACCCAACCCATTCACTCACTTCACCCAATAAACACAACCCATTCACTCACTTCACCCAATAAACACAACCCATTCACTCACTTCACCCAATAAACACAACCCATTCACTCACTTCACCCAATAAACACAACCCATTCACTCACTTCACCTAATAAACATGACCCATTCACTCACTTCACCCAATAAACACAACCCATTCACTCACTTCACCTAATAAACACAACCCATTCACTCACTTCACCTAATAAACATGACCCATTTACTCACTTCACCCAATAAACACAACCCATTCACTCACTTCACCCAATAAACACAACCCATTCACTCACTTCACCCAATAAACACAACCCATTCACTCACTTCACCCAATAAACACAACCCATTCACTCACTTCACCTAATAAACATGACCCATTTACTCACTTCACCCAATAAACACAACCCATTCACTCACTTCACCCAATAAACACAACCCATTCACTCACTTCACCCAATAAACACAACCCATTCACTCACTTCACCCAATAAACACAACCCATTCACTCACTTCACCCAATAATCACAACCCACTCACTCATTTCACCCAACAAACACCACATTCCCTCACTCTACCCAAAAAACACAACCCACTCACTACCCCCAAAAAACATAACTAATTCACCTACTCCACCGAATGAACACAACCCATTCACTCACTCCACGCAACAAACACAACCGATCCCTCACTCCACCAAAACAAAAGCAACCCATTCACTATCTTCAACCAACAAACACAACCAACTCCCTCCACCCACACACAAAAAACATAACCAATTTACCCACTTCACCCAACAAACACAACCAACTCACTCCACCCCAAAAAAAAAACATAACCAATTTACCCACTTCACCCAACAATCGCAACCAATCCGTCACTCCACCTAACAAAAACAACATAAACCCATACACTCACTTGTCAATGTGACCTTCCTCCTCCTTGTGATGACCCTTCCGCCGTGCCAGTTCCTCTTCTACATACTTTAGCCTGAAAATGGAATCACCCAGATACTGAGAACGGCACATAAAATCTACTAAAATGCAACAACACTCACACAAATATACTGTATGTTACAAACTGACGATGCACGATAATTTCACATTTTAAAAAAAGGACACAGGTTATAAACTTCACAAATGAAAACTGATTTCACGATCAAGACATTTATCTAACAGAAGACTAAATCTGCTCATAAAAGTTAATGACATAATTAATAAAATATGGTGAACAAAAAATTAGATCCTACATAGTGCCATCACAAAATTCCTATTCTGCCTATAAAAACTAATGGAGCATAGTAACCTAATGACAGATGTCCAGAAAATCTTATAATAATTTAATGAATACCTTTGCACTTGAACCCCCAAAGAAATTTAAGGGAGACCAAAGGGGTGTAGGGGTAAAAAGATCAGGTTAGCAATCACCTTGAGGGTAGCCACAACCTTCAGGATGGTCAAAATTCCTTGGGCCCCATTTTATTTCTTCAACTAGATCACTTATGGCTCCTCGTGCCACAGCTCAGGCAATAGTCTTGTCTGACTGGCAAAGCTAAGAGAGTGAAAACCATTCTGGGCAGATGAAGCTCAAAAAGCCCTGAAGAACACCTCGGCCACCAAACTGATGTTGCCTTGTGGGAGTTCCTGCATGAACAAAAGCTACGGCAACAAACCCAGCAGAAAATGTAGGCAGGCAGAGCTCATTTACCCTGGAAGGCAACCAGCCTATGAGAGGAGGACAACTGAAAATAAACCTCAACTGTCAAAGTCAGAAAGCAGCCTACTTGTGGAAGGGGGACCAAATAAAAAAAAGACATGGAAATGAATTAACAACATGGGTGAAAAAGATGAGGACAAGCACTGCGCTGCAGGCTGTAGCCAAGTACATTAAAATAAAAGTTAAAATAAATAACAAATAAAACACTTCCTATGAGGACCATTTTACACAAGCTGTCTAGGCACCTGTGTGTGTACCGCTGTCTAATACAGGCAGAAGAGCAGATTGTTTCTTGTTTTCATAATCCTAGAACTCCCCGTGTGGGTTCCAGGGCCCTATTACAGGGAAAACAAGAATAGATCCACTGCCTACCCAAAAGCACGTCGTAAGAGTCGACTAAGTGGGAGCTTCCTTTAAAGTCGGAGTGCATCTGCCTGAGAGGCAAGGAACCAACAGTCTGCAAACAAATTATTCAGATCTGTAAAACGGATGCGCACATGACACTCATGTTCTGGGGCAAGACTAAAGTCAAGAGATGGACAAACAACCAGAACTTTCTGTAGGAGTTTACAGCTGGTGGAACGCCAAGAAGAAGAAGAAGAAGACAACCCTAAAATGCTTATCTTAAAACATTTTGTTGCCCTGACTACTTACAACGTTTTTTTCCCAATTTAACAAAACAAGTCTAGAATTTTGTAATTAATAACACAATACAATATACATTACTTAAGAAAACATAGACAGACATTGATTCACATGAAACAAAACAAAGATAGAAATTAACTAATCAGGAGCTTTCAATGACAAAAAATTAAACCAAGCAAAAGAATGTGTGAAAGGATCATAAAAAAACACACCGCTGGAATGAATAATATACAGTACAAACCAAACCAATTAATGAGATACCAACACAGATATATTAGGTGTTTTAAAAATATCATGTCAATTTTTTGTTTATTAACACTTTACTCAATATATACCTACATATCACCACTAAATCCACGCTCTATAAGTTTTGAGAAAAAGGTTCTGTGGTACTAACAAAAAACTCAGGACTTACATTTCTGCATCTTCATCTCTCCTATTTGTTTCCGCTGCAAAGGCTGTTCCGATTGCTTCTGCTGCCTCGCCCTTCAATGGCCTGAAGGAAGAAAGAATGCATAAGAAGCACCTGAAGGGATAACACAACACTATAATAAAAGTAGATATTATTTGGTAATGGTCCAGTCAGGTTAATTTAATGCAGACCCCCGTGTGGATTCCGGGGCCCCATTGTGGGGAAAACAAGAATAGACCCACTGCCTCCCCAAAAGCATGTCGTAAGAGTCGACTAATTGGGGAGCTTCCTTTGAAGTCTGTATTCAAGAGAATGAGATCTGTAAAACTGATGCACACGCAACACTCAGGTCCTGGAGCAGGACTGCAGTTCAGCGGTGGACAAGCAACCAGAACCTTCTGCCAGAGTTTACAGCTGGTGAACGCAAAGAAGAAAAAGAAGAATGTAATGCAGAATTAATATATGACAACTGGCAAACTTGAGGGCAAAGAAGCAAAAGGAAGCCAAGAGATATACTTGCACAGCCAGAGCTGCAGACCGCCAGGCAAAAATTGTTAATGCCACTAGAAAGAGAGGACAATCAGGGATTTTGTGGGCAGTCCGTCCACATGGCTGCTAAGAATGCGAGAACTGGGAGTTAAAACTGGCAAGGCCTGGCACAAGAGACACACCTGGCATATAAAATGTCTAGTAAACCAGCAGAGAACTGGCATTTTCAGCCGCTGGCCGCTGACTATATGTTTTACATACAATGTTCAACTCATCACCGGAAATTCAAGATACTCACATGACAACCACAGCAATTTAAAATTTATCACGGTTTTTTTTCTGTCCACACAAAGCGGATTTGTTCATTTTCATTGCTACAGCATCTGCCAATGTATTTCAGCAACTGCCTGTTTGGTGTGTAGTAAATATTATTTTGGCAAACTACTGCTTAGGCAATGCTGGCCAAACTGTCCTGTGGAACAGCTGTCTAATCCATTTAAAAGCTGTCCCCAGAGGCCAGAGGTGTAGCTGGTTTTAATGACATATGTCACATTTAAACACTAGTTTGTGTGTCTTTGAATAATGACATCCTTTAAAAGTACATCATAAAAATAACTTCTATCATACTTTCATAAAAAGTACATAGATCACATCTATTTAAATATGTTTTGCTGACTCTTAAAAATAAAAAATTTAATTTTTTTAACTGGTTCTTTATTAATATCCTTCCCCTGATGACGTCACAGGACAGTCCAACATTTCAGAGGTTTTCTGATGCTTTTAACGACACCAAAACATCAAGAACTGGCCCTAACCTCAACACACCTACATCCCACGAGAGTGCAGCCTAGATCCCATGAATGCATGCAGCCTATCTACCACCACCCTGAAATATTAGACTGACCCGTGACCTGTGGATTTCCCTGTTTGGGGTAGGATATTAATATAGCACCAAAAAACTTTCCATGCACTATGAAATCAAATACCCTGACATGATGTACTTCTATATGGCATAGGAGGTTACCCATTTGCTGTGAAGCTGTCACTGTGACAAACTGCTCTATAAAGCAACTCACTTTTTCTTTAAAGCTTTCATATCCACAATGCCTCCAGTGTTCATTTTGAATGGGTCTGCCTGAGAAAGAAATATTCACAATTATTACCAGCAATCTCAACTCTTTGAGTCCCAGGGGGGTTTAGCATCACAGGCCCAGGGGGTAGTAAAGAAAGTAATAAAATCGGCGCATCATGCGTTCATTGGGCTTCTATGTAGGAACCTATGAACCTATGATGCGTTCCTTGGGACTCAAAGAGTTAATCTACTTCACAGCATAAAGATTCATCATCATCGTCGTCATGTGCACAGTCGATAAGCATAGGTGGTAATTTTTCGCCATGCAGCGCAATAAGGAGAATCAGAGATCAGGTGAGTGTTTGTGTCCCGCCCCCACCCACACTGCCAGGCAATCCAGACATTTTTCTCTTTAATTTCCTATTGCTCTTTTTCATCAGTTTTTATCAATCACTATCAAGTTCCCAAGAGCATTTCCTCTAAGAACATGTCCAAATATAGCCATTCCGTATGTCAAACTTTTTTTTTTTTTTACCAGTTTGGTTTTCATCTTTCTCAAGGACTGGTCTTGTCTGTTTTTTTCTATCATTCCACAGATTTCTTTGCATCTTTCTCAAAAACCATGCCCCTGATGCCAGAAGGTGTTTAAAGTTAACAATGGCATGATGTGCCTAACATTGCAATGAAAACGATTTCAAACACTTATTTCCGATGTGGGTTCCTTCCTCCCTCCAACAAGCATGTCGCAAGAAAAACTCTACTAATTAGGATTTCCTTTGAAGTTGGAGTGCATCTGCCTATGAAGCAAGGAACCAACAATCTGCATACAAATAAGCCATATCTGTAAATGGATGTGCATGCACACACTCAAGTTCTGGAACTGAACTAAAGTCCAAAAGTAGATTCACAACCAGAACTTTCTGCCAGAGCTTACAGCGGTGGAAGGAACTCATGGAAACACTAATTCTAAGATTCAAGGTCATTAATCTTTAATGTAAAAACAGTATTAATTAAACACATTTCCTACAGAACAGGCTGTTTCAATATATCTGCTGCAAAGCTCAACACAAAACTGTCAATAATGGCTGTAAACACTGCCAGATCAGAGCTGTCGACAACTGCTACAAGACAGTCAACAGAACATTCAACTTACATCTGACACCTCTTCTGTTTTGGCTATTTTCTTCCCCAAAGCCAAACCAGCAGCACTGACTCCATGTTGCCTGGATCTCATTTTCTGCAATGTTCGTAAAGCTTCCAGTTTCTCTCTGAGGAAATAGTATCTACCATTATCTACAAAATTATATGTAACATTCCCCGTGAGGGTTCCTAGGTCCCTTGTGAAAAAGGGAAATGAGAAAAAAACCAGAACCACCTCCCCCCCCCCTTCCCCACCACCAACATGCATATCGTAAAAGCAGACTAATTAGCAGTGTTTCCTTTGAAGTCATAGTACATCTGTCTGAGAGGTGAGGAACCAACAGTCTGCACATAAATAAGCCTAATCTGTTAAACAGAGATGGATGCAAAACTATTCAGCCCTTTTTTTTGGTAAGTCAATAATAAGTAAGTCACAATAACTCAGACATTTCTACTTTGAACTGTTAGAAACATTTGAGACCACTGATATAGCTGGAGATATAAAATCACATGTACTGTTCAGCTCACACATTCTTCTTCTTCTTCTTCTTCTTCTTTTCTATCCCCCAATGGAGCATAAGCCCTCAACCAACTCACGCCAAGTCGTTCTATCCTTCGCTATTGCATGGAGCTCTCCCCATATCCTCCCCATCTTTCTAACTTCATTCTCCAGCTCTCTTCTCCGTGTGTTTTTTTGGCCTTCCTTTATTCCTATGCCCCTGTGGGTTCCAGTGCAAAGACATTCTGGTTAGTTCAGCACACACATAAGCAAAGGAAAGATGTAGAGATGAGTGGACACAGCAGACCAGGGCCATTCAACTAGATTTACTCAGGGGCCAAAATGTAGAAAATGGGGATGATCACATGCATGGACCAAAATGTAGAAAATGGGGATGATCACATGCATGGGCCAAAATGTAGAAGATGGGGATGATCACATGCATGGGCCAAAATGTAGAAAATGGGGATGATCACATGCATGGGCCAAAATGTAGAAGATGGGGATGATCACATGCATGGGCCAAAATGTAGAAAATGGGGATGATCACATGCATGGGCCAAAATGTAGAAGATGGGGATGATCACATGCATGGGCCAAACTGTAGAAGATGGGGATGATCACATGCATGGCCAAAGCCATTAAATTCTGTCTATTTTCTAGTTATGTGTACAGGTGCCTAAGAGACTTTTAGTGGTGTCATAAGGTGCAGCCTGGAAGGCTCAGGCTCAAACTGCATTGAGTAGGAATTTTTTTCAAAATAATATTGGCTCCCTCACCAACCCAACCTCACATGGGAACAGATAATGTGAGGTCCAATATGGTCGATATGCAGGTTTAATGTTTTTAGTTGTGCACGTTTTTTGGAGGCAGGTTTAATGTCTTTAGTTGTGCAAGTTTTTGAAGGCAGGTTTAATGTCTTTAGTTTGTGCAGGTTTTTGAAGGCAGGTTTAATGCTTTTAGTTGTGCAAGTTTTTGGAGGCAGGTTTAATGTTCTTAGTTGTGCAAGTTTTTGGAGGCAGGTTTAATGTTTTTAGTTGTGCAAGTTTTTTGGAAGCAGGGGTAATGGTTTTAGTTGTGCAAGTTTTTGGAAGCAGGTTTAATGTCTTTAGTTTGTGCACGTTTTTGGAGGCAGGTTTAATTTTCTTAGTTGAGCAAGTTTTTGGAGGCAGGTTTAATGTTTTTAGTTGTGCAAGTTTTTGGAGACAGGTTTAATGTTTTTTTTTTAGAAGCAAGTTTAATGTTTTTAGTTGTGCAAGTTTTTGCAGGCAGGTTTAATGTTTTTAGTTGTGCAAGTTTTTGGAAGCAGGTTTAATGTTTTTAGTTGTGCAAGTTTTTGCAGGCAGATTTAATGTATACATTTTTTTTTATGTATTAGGACCTGTGTACTGGGATTTTTTAATGATTTTTTTCCCTGAGATTCCTAGATGTTCAAGATCCCTTTTTTAAATTCTTTCCCGGGGTGTATGTGTTACATAGAAGTTTACAACTTACAGATACTAGTCTGTAAGTAGGTATAGCAATGGGTCATTTTGTTTTGTTTATTTTGCTATACATTTTCATCCGTAACTAGAGACGCGACCGCGTCCCAAAAATGCAGCCCAAATTGACCATTATTGAGAAATTATTTTTCCGTGCTCTTTACGTGAAAGATCAAATCAAAACAATTATTAGGAGTTATTGGAGAGATGCTAGGCTTCGACCTGAGATGGTTTTGACACGTATACAATAAATCGATTTTTTTTTGGCAGCACACAGTGAATTAACGGTAAGTAATTTCATTGTAACCATGTACCAAACGGGGAAAACAGCTCAAGTGTGTAATGTTGTGAACGATTACAACCTGGATATTCTCGGTGTCAGTGAGTGTAGATGGACTGGTTCGGGTAAAATATCACGCTGAACAACAACAGCCTTGAAAAAGTCAACAGTTTCACTTATCTAGGGAGCAAGATGTCATCTACAGGAGATACCGCACCAGAAATATCATTTAGAATAGCACTGGCATCTAGTGCCTTCAATAAACTGTCTAACATCTGGAAATCAAAGACACTTAGCAAACACACAAAACTCAAGATCTTCAATTCTTGTGTGATTCCAGTACTAACCTATGGATGCGAGAGTTGGAAATCAACGAAAACTCTAGACACAAAATTAGACAGTTTTGAAAATAAATGCCTTAGAAGAATACTAAATTTCAAATGGTCAGATTTCCGAACCAATACACAAATAAGGCAAGAATCCAGGCAAGAGTATGTGTCTAATTTTATACGAAAACGCCGCTGGAACTATGTCAGCCACGTCCTTAGAATGGATAAATCAAGACTTCCTTACCAAGCCCTCATTTGGACACCACAGGGGAAAAGATCTCGTGGAAGACCAAGGGAAACCCTACGTAGAACTATCATCAGGGAAGGCTCGCTCATGGGCCACTCAAACATCCAAGACCTACAACGGATTGCAACGGACCGCCGTGCATGGAGAGTCACGACCTCTGCCCTATGTGCCGCACTCGACACAAGAGGAAAGACTAACTAACTAATTTCATTAATATCTTCTTAATTAGCCAGATTACCGCAATTTTTGGTGTATTTTTGAATTCTGCGTTAATTTTTATATAAGTATGGGAAATTTCACAAAGATTGGCTGAGCGCAAATGTTTAAAAAAAATATTTTTTGGCATCACTGTTTTCGCTTTAAATCCAATAACGGTAAGTAATTTCATAAATATCTTCTTAATTAGACAGATTACCGCAATTTGTGGCGTATTTTTTAATTCTGCATTAAATTTCACAAAGATTGGCTGAGTGCAAATGTTTAAAAAAAATTTGTAGTGGCATCACTGTTTTTGCTTTAAATCCAATATGTTTGCGCTAGGAGACCGTTTGTCCCGCTTTATAATTAACTTAAAATAATAATTAAATTAGCTAACGTTATTGTAATAATTTTTTTTTTAAATCAACAACCATTGTAGCATTGTTTCATGCATCTGTCATTATTTAGAGCTCTGCGAATTATCTGTTGGAGATATTTTTTCCTAATCACTCCCAAATCCCAATAATTAATTTTGGCCATTATTGCGCATTTTCTAAGATGATTCTTTAGTAATTAACTTCAGATACTTAGTAAGTTAATAATGTTAAGTGAGCTACTTTTTAAACATCTACAACTCTTGTAGCATTTTTTTAATGCGTATGTTATTATTTAGAATCCACATAATTTTCTGTCGGAATTGGTAAATCTAAGTGGTCGAGAAACAACAGCAGCGCTGACCGCGTTTCCGTCCATCAGGCCTGCCAGTACTTGGGCTTCCCCCAAGAACTGGGTTTTTATACGACACCTTGGGTTAAGATTTTGGAATCTTGTTATTTTTTTTTTTAAATACATATCCTTATATAAAAGTGGGTAAATGTTTCATTTTGTAACTATAAAATTAACTATAAAATATGTACTATTTATCAATTTTGGTTTTTTTTTTTTTTTTTTTGCTTATATTATTGCTTGGGTTTTTGGTCAGCTTAGCTTCGGGTTTGACAAAAATCCTATTGGCAAGCCTCCCATGCTTGGCTGTCCGCGTGTGGCTGCTATAAATCCATTTCTTACATTTAATACTGGATGGACATGGGAGCCAAGCCTTTTTGAAACAAAAGAAAATCCGGCCTGACCTGATTCCCAGAAATGAACACACCTGTTGTTTCATCCTCATCAGTTCTTGTTATGCCTAGTGGCACATGAGGCTTCAGAGAGGACTTTCCATGCTTTCCTGTCCTGTGCAATCTTCAATGCAGTTTTCCATGTCAAAGATGCTGCATTCAGGTCACTTTCATCGTTCATCTCTATGTTGTTTATGGGCGCCCCTGTTTTCTCTTTCCCCCTGGTGTCCATGTGAGAGCTGTTTTGGCGGGTAAATCAGGATTCATTCTCATAATGTGGCCAAGCCATTTCCATCTTCTCTACACACCTGTTGTTTGCCCTGTTGTTAACACTGTCACTGACCCATTATGAAAACAGGTCGTGTACTACCAGTGGGCTTATGTTTTCTTCTACCATACAGAACGGAGAGTTGGGGGAGGGGGAGTAGAAGATTGAGAGAAAGTTGAGAAAGAGGGGGAGCAGGAGAAAGTCGGCACTGAGACATGGGGGGAAAAAAGGAAAGGAAAAAGAAAGAAAGAAGAGGAGAGATACCAGGGGAAGAAGGTAGCAGGAAGGGGGTGTGGCCACCTGGGGTCATCACTGTGGGGGGTGAGTGCAACCACCCCGGGTGTCATTACTGTGCAGAGATACGACCACCCCGGGTGACATCGTTGTTGCGAGGGTGGGGTCCGGTATCAGTCCGAAGCTGAAACTAGGATTACCAGATTACCAGATTACTGGGGGGTGGGGTCTGGTATTTGTTAATTAGGTCACATCAACTGATATTAGCACATCTATATGATCTTGATGTTCATCTTGCCAGGACACACAATATGATATGTATTAAGCCAGGCTCATTGGCAGACAACTGTAAATGTATAAGGTTTTTGATGAAAAATAATCAGCCTGAGGACTTTTTCATATGTTAAATAGGCGCATATTGTAGTGTCTGAATTTGAGACATGCATAAACAGTTAGATCTCACTGTCCCGATTCCAGAAATATATGGTTGCTAAGGGATTCGATCAGAAACAAACAAGTTATGGCCATAAAATGCAAACATTGAGTCATTTCATCTTACTGGGTCGCAGCCGGGAATCCATGTTTTGTGCATTTCCACTATAATTTTTCTGTGGTGGTATCCGCCACTAAAATGTTAATATCTAGGCTTAGAATCGACTTACAGGCTTAAATGAGGTACCATTTGATTTGTAATTTTAATCTTTATCTAGCTGTCATGATTTTGTAAGTAAAAACTCAAAATATAAAACTTCACTAGCATCCCTACGACCCTACGTCCTTTCAAGAACTTTTGGCTCTACTGACAAATTTGGCAGGTAAGCTGGACTGCTTCGGCCGGCTTAGCGGGGCTTAGTGGGAGTTATGTCCCTTGGCCAAACTCAAAACAACTCAAAACAAGTCGCGGAAAAAGTCACGAATCAAACGGCATACTTACCTATCATCATCCGGGTGCGTGTAGGGTTGCGTAGGGTGTCTATCATCGTCCTACGGTTGCGTGTAGGGCTGCTTATATGCGTGTAGGGATGGTTGTTTGCGTAAGATAGATGAGGGGTAGGGTTAGGGGTTAGGGTTAGCGTTTAGGGTTAGGGATTAGGGTTAGGGTTTAGGGTTAGGGTTAGGGTTTAGGGTTAGGGTTAGAGGTTAGGGTTAGGGTTTAGGGTTAGGTGTAGCGTTAGATGTGACAATTGTGACGCCGTAGTTCGCTACAATCGCGCACAGTCGCATGCACGCGCAAACAGTCGACGGACGGTGGATGCTACTGACACGGACAATTCGCCACCGATTGGGCACCAGCCGCCGCGCGCTATTGCCGTCATATTTGGCACACTTCCAGTGGCGCCACTCCCACAAGCATCAGATTGTCGGCCAGTATTTCCACCTCCTACGTGAATATTTTCACATCATCTAACCCTAACCCTACCCCTAACCCGTAACCCTCCCCCTAACCCTAACCCTAACCCTACCCCTAACCCACACCCCTAACCCTACCGCTAACCCAAACCCTACGCAACCGTATGATGATGATGATAGACACCCTACGCATCCCTACACGCAACCGTATGATGATGATAAACACCCTACGCAGCCCTACGCGCAACCGTATGATGATAGGTAACCCTAGACGCCACCCTACGCAGCCCTACACGCACCCGGATGATGATAGGTAAGTATGTCATTTGATTCGTGACTTTTTCCGCGACTTGTTTTGAGTTTGGCGAAGGGACATAACTCCCACTAAGCCCTGCTAAGCCGGCCGAAGCAGTCCAGCTTACCGGCCAAATTTGCCAGTAGAGCCGAACTTTTTCCCCCTTTCTCCAAAAGCCCACCACACAAGACAAGGACACTTTCGATTTATAAAACTAAATCCCAAATAATGAAATTTTATTCCAATATTTAGTCATCATTCGCGAATTTAATTACTGACGTAAATTATTTCATTTAAATTAATGACATGTAGTAGTTAGTTAGTAAAGAGAGTAAGACAGTAAGTTATAGTTATTAAATCATCATATATACACACTGCTTAAACTTAATTTTTTTTTTAAAACCTAGCAGTAATATATATTTCTTCTGCTACAAAAAAAATATATAAACACACAAACGCACATACATACCTAGTTTCTACATTCCTAGTTTCTACCTAATTTTTTTTTTAAAACCTAGCAGTAATATATATTTCTTCTGCTACAAAAAAAATATATAAACACACAAACGCACATACATACCTAGTTTCTTCGTCGTTATCTGAACCATCGCTACTGTCCGACGATTTCCCCTTTTCTCGAATGTTTCGTCGACGTTTAACACCTCCACTTTCCATCTTGTTGTTTTTCGTCTGTATGCTCACATTAAAATGTGTGAACATTTTCATTAACGAAACAAATGTTAGTACAGCTTTTTTTTATATATATTTCCCCACTGGGATTGCAGCCCGATTGTTGAATGTGGTTGACCCCCGTGTGGGTTCCAGGGCCCCATTGTGGGGAAAACAAGAATAGACCCACTGCCTCCCCAAAAGCATGTCGTAAGAGTCGACTAATTGGGGAGCTTCCTTTGAAGTCGGAGTACATCTGCCGGAGAGGCAAGGAACCAACAGTCTGTATTCAAGAGAATGAGATCTGTAAAACTGATGCACACGCAACACTCAGGTTCTGGAGCAGGACTGCAGTTCAGTAATGGACGAGCAACCAGAACTTTCCGCCAGAATGTACAGCTGGTGAACGCGAAGAAGAAGAAGAATGTGGTTGAATGTTAAATTAAGAATCGACATCACAGCACTAGGGACACTCCCATGTGTGCTCCGTCCCTATCTTCAGCAGCAAGCGAAGAGTTACAATTCTGATTGTATCAGTAACTGTCTGACTGTACATGCCCTTCCTTTAAGTGTTGAGCGTCGGCCAGATCAACTGTAACTCCCCGCATCGCCATTCTCCTCAGACCGTAATGATCAATGTGTGTCTCCGCTCTGTTCACTCGCTTCAGAAGGGCCTTCCCAACATCTAGTTGGTCATCATACATCAGTTCACCACCAAGTGGTGCAGAACCGGCCTGTCTGTCTGCCTGCTCGTTTCCCAACACACCGGCATGACCTGGAGAAAATATCCAAACGACGCTGACTACCCGGGACCTCAGAAGTGATGCTTGCCACTCTGCATGGAGCATGCCTGTCTCCACATTTCTCAACACACTCTGTGAGTTACAATCACGACATGTGTGTACATCTGATTCTTAAGCCAGCGGAAGGCAGCAGTGACTGCCTCCACTTCCATTCTCAAACTAGACTTTGTGACATTATATGCCAGACTTAGTTGAAATGAGCGACGTTGATTTGCTTTTGCTTTGAGCTCCCATACACTTCCTCTGCCCTCAATACAGCGCCATCTGTAAAGATAATCACATCACCTAGGCGGGAATTGTCGTGAATCATTTGTTATACATCTGATTCTGCAGCACAAGTTGACTAATCCCTGCGCTCACGGCCTAAAGTGATAAGAACCCTACATAAGTCTGAAACTTGTTTGCTTATAAACTTTGACCCACTCCTCTCTTGGCCCAAATTTGTCAAGCCGGCACACACGGTAATTGTCTCTACAGCTTGCGCCATCCAAGATCTCGATCTTCCTCTTTTCATTCTGTAACCCTAAGCTCTATGCAGTAAGGGCTTCTTGTCTGCAGCTACTCTGAGATATGACTTTGCTTGCAGAACTTTGAGCCTATCTGCAACAGCATGCAGTGCAAGTATAACTCGCATACATGCTACCTTGGTATCCCTTGTATATCCCAGAATTACCCGCATAGCTTCATTCTGTATGCAGCCCGAAAGAATCAAAATCCAATGAATCAAAGTGCCATTATTTGGATGCGAATCTTTCAGGAACATTTACGAGAAGATCCGTTTAACTGTATAAAATAGATTTAGTGTGACACTCTAGTGTAACAAAAACTAACCTGACACAGGGGCGCCAGTACAAAGAACAATGGGGGGGGGGGGAGGCTGTATCTTCTCAGTTCCCTTACACATTTTCTACTGAGAAAGGGGGGGGGGTTCAGGAACCTAAGTAGTGTAAAGTAAAGTAAAGGAAACTTCTCCACCCCTTCAGGCGTACTGGATATATAGGGCTTGACCTATATTTTAAAGGCCAAACGGCACTTGGTGTGAGATGTGGTCAGCATCCCACCGGCCGCCATTACTTCCCAGGACTGTACCTGGTACCCACTAAAGGCTAGGTCGACCTGGGAGCCAAGACTATTTTTGAAAAAGTCCGGCCCCATCAGGACCCGAATCCACGACCTTCCGATCCGTAGGATAGCATTTAGCATCTAGACGTCAATGGCTCCCCTAAGTAGTTTCATCATCACCATGTGCCCTGCCATCGACCTAGGCGCTCATGCGTCTCCACAGATCACGATCCCTGGTTGCCTGGAACAGCTCTCTTGATGATATTCCCCCATGCCATCGTTTCAGCCCATCCAACATCATCTCTCTTGGTCTGCCTCTACCCCTTTTTCCATTGATCTTTCCAGTTGCCACGATGTTCTCCAATGTCTCTCTTCTCATTATGTGGCCAAAGAACAGTGTTTGTCTCTTTCTTATTGTTGTATCTACTTTTATTAGCTCCTTTCAGTCAACCGTTTTTAGTTACTCTGGCTGTCTAAGTAGTGTAGGTGCTTAAAATAATAAAAATATTTATAATAATGTGTGCCAAATGGAAAATATATAAATAATAAGATATAACTGAAATAATATGAAGTGTATACCATATGCTTAAAAATAACAACTGCTAAATACAGGAGTGTTATTTAGACTCCTTCTTCATGAAAGGAGAAGGTTTACTCAAGTCTCAAAGCCTTCTCAGCTGCCGAAATCAAAAACAGTATAGATATTGCCTACCCACAGGAGACCCGCCTGCACGAAGATTGTCTGTTGGAGAAACCAGTCATCTCTCACGCTCAGAAGAGACCCAGTTTTAACACTCATCCATCATTTAATGTTCTTAACTAGCATGCAAAACACTCCTCCTTCATTTACTGTTCATAACTACCATGCAAAACACTCATCCATCATTTACTATTCATAACTACCATGCAAAACACTCATCCATCATTTACTGTTCATAACTACCATGCAAAACACTCATCCATCATTTACTGTTCATAACTACCATGCAGAACATTCATCCATCATTTACTGTTCATAACTACCATGCAAAACACTCATCCATCATTTACTGTTCATAACTACCATGCAAAACACTTATCCATCATTTACTGTTCATAACTACCATGCAAAACACTCATCCATCATTTACTGTTCATAACTACCATGCAAACCCTAATCTATCATTTACTGTTCATTACTATCATGCTTATTTCCAAACTGTACTTGCTGGTATCTGTCTTTTGAAAACATATTTTATCTTAAACACTTTCCCTTTTATTTGAACATCCTTCAACATCCTAATGAATTTGACGTGTTTATCATGTGTTTTTGTCTCTCACTGAAGATTAGAAAAAGAGTTCTTGCTACACTCATTCAGTTTTAACATATGGCTGTAAACAAACAAATAAGAGACAGACAGATACTCCTGCCTCTATGAGGGAGCCATTTACCATGGGCGAACTACAAAATGCCATCTTTAGGCTTAAGTTAAAAAAGTCTGCAGATCCAGATGAAATCAGCAACGAAATGCTAATCAACCTGACCTCATCTGCTAAAGTAAAGCTGCTGGAAATTTTCAACATCAGCTGGGAGAAAGGTTTGGTGCCTCAAGTATGGAGAGAAGCCATCACAATACCCATTTTAAAAAAAGGAAAAATTAAGACACAGGCTTCGAGCTATCGCCCAATTAGTCTCACAAGCTGTGTAGGAAAGACATTGGAAAGAATTGTAAATTGAAGACTGAAATGGCACTTAGAATCTGAGCAGATCTTGGTGCCAGAGCAGGCTGGGTTTAGGGAATGTCACAGCATAGAAGACCAAGTCACCTACCTGTCACAAGCTGTAGAGGATGCCTTCCAAGAGAAGAAAAAGGTCCTGGCGGTATGGGTTGACTTCAAACAAGCTTTTGACAAAGTCTGGAAAGATGGTCTCATTGCAAAACTGAAGAAAAATGGAATCCAAGGAAACATGCTAAAATGGATCCAATCCTTCTTACACAGCAGGAGAACTAGAGTCAGTCTTGATGGCCAGCAGAGTAGAAAAGTGTTACTTCGGCAAGGAGTACCACAGGGAGGAGTTATCTCTCCAACTCTCTTTCTTGTGTATATAAATGATCTGGTGAAAGACCTCCCTACAGGAGTAAAAGCTGCCCTGTATGCAGATGATCTGGCACTCTGGTGTACCTATGAACACACCACAGTGGCAAATATAAGAATGCAGCGAGCAGCAGATCTCTTGATGACATGGGCAGAAAAATGGCATGTTGCCATCAACACAGACAAAACATCCACAACGCTTTTCTCTCTTTCCCCCAGGGACAAAGCTGCTAGTATTCACCTAGGAACATCCTTGCTAAAGGAAGAAAGCTTCCCCACTTATCTTGGAGTAACATTTGATAAAAGGCTCACATGGAGCAAACATATAGAAAATGTAGAAGGGAAGGCCAGGAGACGACTAGGCCTACTTAGAAAACAGGCAGGTACAGGATGGGGAGCGAATGGAAAAACCCTAAAGAAAGTTTATAATGGAGCGATAAGACCCCACTTGGAGTTTGGTGCAACAGCATGGTCAACAGCTGCTAATTCCCATTTACAATCGTTAGACAGAGTGCAAAATCAAGCTCTTAGACTCATCACAGGATCCATGAAAACTGCACCAATCCTGAAGATGCAGAAAATAACTGCAATGCAGACATTGTCCTATAGAAGAGACACTAAAACTATGATCCAGATGGAGACGTTTAATAGTATGCAGTCACACCCAATGAATAAAAGGTTAGATGATCTGGCATTAGGGCGTCTCAAACGTAGCAGCTTTGTCCATCGGGGGAAAAGACTTAGAAGACAGTATCAAGCTGATCTACCTATTAGAACAACACCGCTGAAACCTACCCTATACCCTGTACCTTGGGAGCAAGTCAGTGATACAATACAGATAATGACTTCAGTCAATGGATTCACAACTGGAGATGAGTCCAATGATCTTCAAAAACGAACAGCTGCTCTTAGCATGATTCATGAAAACTATCCCGAACAGTCATGGATACATGTTTACACAGATGGATCAGCAACCAATGCGGTTAAAAATGGGGGTGCTGGAGTCTTTATTACATACCCAGGCAACCACCGCCACACAAAGTGGATACCCACTGGTAAATTCTGTTCCAACTATACAGCAGAGATTGTAGCACTAGAGCAGGCTGCCGAAATGTT